GCCCATTCACACTTTTGGGGGTTTAACTTCAGTTTTGCCTCAGGCAGTTTATTAAGCACAAGTCGAAGGTGCTCACAATATTCTTTCAAAGTCTTACTAAAAATCAAAATATCATCAAGATATATTACAACAAATTTATCGAGCCACTCACGAAAATGTTCATTCATCGTTCGTTGGAAGGTTGCAGGTGCATTAGTAAGAGCAAAGGGCAACACAACGAATTCATAGTGCCCATACCTTGTCCGAAAGGCAGTCTTGTATTGGTCTTTTGGATCTACCTCAATCTGATGGTAGCCAGACTTCAAATCAATCTTAGTGAAGTACTTGCTTCCCTGAACTCTATCCAACAGGTCATCGATTCTTGGCAACGACTAAGCATTCTTAACTGTTATGTCGTTCAATCTTCTATAGTCTATGCACATGCGGACCCCGCCATCTTTCTTTGGCACAAATAGCACTGGCGCACCACAGGGTGAGGAACTAGGTCTAATACATCCTTTTTCCAACATTTCATCCAACTGCGTTCACAATTCATCCAATTCTATTGGTGACATTCTGTAGATTGGGCCCTTAGGAATTTGACTCCCAGGTATAATATCAATGCGATGCTTAATAGGTCGTTCCTCAACACCGCTTGGGGCCTCTGTCACATCTGCGAATTCTTTCATTATTTTCTCAATTTCTGGGGATTTTGCTTCTTCCTTAGCTTCACCTTCTTTAATTGGGTGCACATATGCCACAAACACTTGATCATACAAATTATGCTTTTTCACATGGCGGGCGAATGCGAGGGCACTCATACAGCAATGAGCCAAGCTGCTTTCCTTGCCATATTCATGGAATAGGCGGATTTTCTTCTTTCCACACTGCGGACTAGGGAGCCAACACTTATGATCCCTTAACTTTATGTCCGCATCTACAGCTTCACCCCAATCCATGCCTAAAAGAATGTCAAAAGGGAGACTATCTTCCACCAAGAGAGTCAGAGAGTGGAGAACGCGTTCCACCTTCCCCTCTACTTCAAGCCGAAAGTGTTTGAATCCCTTCAACATACCTATCTAACACAATTTCGCTATTATTCGTTAATTTACTTACTACGGGTTCATCTAGTTGTTTAACTTTTAGTCTGAGACCCAACTTTTGCAAACCCTTCTTACTTATATAGTTGCGTGTTGATCCTCTAACAACCAATCCTACTCTTACTTTATTAACTTTTAGATCTGCAATTATTAACTGTCCCTTACGCTTTTTCATTTCGGTCCAGGCTTTGCGACGAGTGGCCAACTCATCACCTATGCCAKCGAGGGATCCACCTAGAGAGGTACATACACTAACTACCTCTAGACAGTTAACTAGGTGGGGACCGTCTTTCTTTTCAGTTTCTGCCAATGGAACCTTCGGATGGGAGGATGTCTGTACATCCGAAGTTTCTGTAACCTTCGGATGGGAGGATGTCTGTCTATTTACATCCAAAGTTTCTGTAGAGGCAACTGAGACCCCTACTGGCTGTTCTCTTTTGGTACCTTATAATTTGGGCAATAGGGAACAATGTGGTTGGGGTCACCACATTTAAGGCACTGGTCGGCAACTTTCCTATCTTGCCAGACTTTCTCCGTAATCCCCAACTTTTCCCAAGGTCTTCCTTCCGGCAAACCAGGATGGGGTGGATATGGTTTGTCCCAATTCCCATACCATGTGCCTCTTCCTCTTCCCCAAGTGGAGTTGAAACCTCGACCACCTTGCGAGGGACCATTGCCCCTTCCACCCACGTAGTAGCTACCTTCGCCACCACCCCTCTGGGTTCCAGGTCCTCTTCCTCCACGTTCGCGGCCTCCTCTTCCTCGGTTATGGCCTCTTTTTTGTCGCCCTCCCCCGCGGGCTGCAACGGCCGCGTAGTCCCCCTCCTGCATTACCGAACCGTTGGGTGCTCCCTCCATACCATAATCTATTTGGTCGTAGGAGAGAGTCTCAACACCTCCTTCTTCAAAGGTCAGAAGGAGGTTGTCTTTCCTAGGTATATTCCCTGAGATTGTGCGGTTCTGCCACTTCTTTTTCCTGCTTGCAGATCTTTCCAATAGTGGCAATAGTTTGCTTCTGCCAGGAAGCCAGCATGATCTATTGCGATCTTGCTGAACTTCTCATATGTCATCCCCTCTTCTTTGGTATGGGGATACACTTGAGTACGGAGTGGATCAAGTAGTGCTCTAGCAAAGTTATTCAGAATCTGAGATGGGGTGAGTCCATGTTCAGCGCATTATAAGAGTTCATCCATGGTAGCCTTGAGCGCAAACGCACTATTCCACTTTCTATCTGCAATGTTAATAATCAGCATTTCGGTTCTCCGGGCTAGATTTTTGTCGTCAAACCTTTCCCGAACAACTTTAAAGAAGTCTTCAATTCGCGTTTGCTGGGAGTATTCTACCATGGATTGGCAACCTGCTTCTTTCTGCAAAGAGATTGCAAAATTCATGGCATCTCCGGCCATACACGAACTGGCCATCAGACTCTTGATGACCGAAGCAGGCTTGTAATCCTGTGAAATACTGGACAGCTGAACTCTTGATTCTCTCTCTATAATCTGGTTATGATAATTCTGGTTGAGATAATTGAGCTGCATTTTTCTGGTCTACTACTCTTCTCTTTGTGCAAATGTGTGACAAGACAAGCTGTGTGACATGTATGCTTGTGTGAGCACTCCATCGTGTGGTGAGCTTTGAGGCTCATTGCATTACCTCGCTTTCTGTCTCTCTGAATGTATACAAGGGATCTCTCAGGACTGATACAGTCATTATGAGGGGTGCATACCATTCTCCTATACGTAAATCAATGGCGGCACAAAACTGGTACAGTCATTATGAGGGGTGCCTACCGTTAACCTGTATATGAACGTCAATGGCGGCGCATTGTGTGCTTTTTCTATGCAAGTCACCTTTCAGGTATGCTATAGTCATGATAAGGGGTGTGTGTTGTCCTCCCATACATAGACTTCAGTGGTAGTGTGCTGTGTCCTTGAATATATATACAAGTCACCTTTCAGATCCAATAGTCATAGCGAGGGTGCATGGTTGCGAACTGGCCTTCCCCTGAAGGCACGTCGTATCCCCCAATATATACAAGTATCTTTAAGGTCCAGTTCTCTCTCTCTCTCTCTCTCTCTCTCTCTCTCTCTCTCTCTCTCTCTCTCTCTCTCTCTCTCTCTC